ATCTATCTATCTATCTATCTATCTATCTATCTATCTATCTATCTATCTATCTATCTATCTATCTATCTATCTGTCTATCTAGAGATCTCATCTCTTTTGCAGAGTGTCCTGGGCCTGAAGGCAACCTATTAATTGTTGTTCATAATTTTGTCATTTTTTGTATCATCAGGCTCAAATTGTGATATTTTTCTTGCACAGATAACTTTTATATCAGCCCTCATCATTAAAGCAGATGGCTGGCCCGACTGCAGCTCAGCAGGCATTTACACAGTCATCTTGAACTTGATGATATAATAAATAATAAACTTTATCGGTCACCAGCTGAGGTGATCGGGCCGTCTCCGTTGTTACTGAATGATAAACAAGGAAAACCATAATTCGTCATCATGGGAAAATGGCCCTTGTTTTCTCATGATAACGACGTATTGTGTCGTCATCACGAGAAAACCATGGAGTATAATTATAAGCGGAAGACGGCCGCTCTCGGCTTCCGCACCTCTTGAGTGCTGATTGATCACATAAAGTATTTGTTTGATTGGGTATAATGCTCGTGCCACTGACCTATTAACCTTTTGATTGAGTGGGTGCTGAGCCTTTTCACTTTAGAAAACTTTGAAAACAACCTGTCAGGAAGACAAAGGCAGTGAAATGGTGAAATACTCATTCATGCTGCATCACTAAGTGGCAGTAATATCAACATAAGCTGTTCAACAAATACAAAGGAAGAGCGTGGCTGAATACTCTTTTAAATCGTTTGAAGCTTAATTTGTTAAAATGCATTTTTTTCTTTATAATTTTTTTATCAAAAAAATGAAGTTAAACAGCAACAGATTTGGCATGAGGAGCGACATACTTGTAAAATAGAATGACTCCATTTTTGTGGCTTCTACAGAAAGCACATTCACTGCGTGAAAACAAAAACTGACATTTTTAAATCTTTAGAAACAGTTTGTAAAAGTTTACAAAATGATTTTTTATGTAGATGCCAGATGCAAATATATCAGATTTTTTTTTTATATTTGTGTGTTTTATCTAAAGCTGATGCATTGGGGTTTAAAAATATCTCTAGGTTGATTAGCAAATTATTCTGATTTTAACACAATCATTAATCTGACTGAGGATGCTCAACCTGATGTTTTTAGTGCATGTGTTTGGAATGTAATTGGTTTTCCGCGGAAATATTTAATGAAATCTTTGTAAATGTTTTGTAATGCTGAAGTGACAGTGATGCGTAAGTTTATAAAATTAATTTTTTTAAACCACAATGAAACATTTGATACTGGTGGAGTTTTAAGACAGCAGAAATCTACTTTGGTTTTGTATAGGGATTAGCTTGTCAGTCTGGGTAAAATGATTCTGTTTCTCCAAACTGTGGATGTATAACAGGTAAGATGCTGACAGCCTAGAACATCATCAGAGACCCTGTAAAGTGACAAAGTAATTATGCATATGCAATTTATTTATTTATTTATTTATTTATTTATTTATTTATTTATTTATTTATTTTATGTTATATATCTAATAAAATAAACAAAGATACAAACGCAGGGTAAAACTTAGAGTACTTTTCCCTCTTTCATATAGTTAATAAGTAAGCAGCCACATGCAGCTAATAAAGAACAATGATCACCTGATCAATGAATAAACTGACTTTGTTTTCTGATCTGAACCGTTCAGATGTGTGTGAATACACTCAGGTGAGACAGAGAAGATTTCAGAGAAGCAGCTGTTGKATATGTTGCCATTAAAGATGGACTGCTGATGCTCTGACTTTTTTCTGCATGCAAACTAAACGCAGTAAATGGAAACTATCACAATATATGATCTGGTGCATAAAATCCTGCAGTGAGGTAAAAGCTTGGGTAAAATGTCCAAATATTTATTGTATTCCTTTTTTTTTTTTTATTCCCATACACCTTTTTCAGTCTGCTTAGCTGTTAACCCCCATTAGTCAGATTAATCACCCTAGAGGGGCTGCTTTACTGGCTGATCATCTCACAGCTGAGATTTTATGAGCACCCCTCATTTCATCTCCTCTTCAGACTTTTGTCATAAAAGGCATTCGACTGTGATCCCCTAAGAATTTTTTTCCCCTCTCTCCCACTGTGGAGCTCATTTCAAGGATCTGCCTGGCCGTGTTTTATTTCGATACACTCATAGAAAGATCGACTGGCTCTTTGAATGGCTCTCCTCCCTTCCTCCACCGGGCAGATGCTCTTTCTTTGTTTCATGCTTCAGTGCAGCAATCATTACAGATCTGATGTCAGCCGGTGCTTGGCGATGCTGCAGAAAACAGAGGGCACAAGGGGAAAAAATCATTCACAAATGACCCTTGACTCCTTGCTACATTTACTGGGGAGTGTAATTTGRCTGTGTTGCTCTTTGAGCGTGTGTATCATTGAAGGTTTCATGTGGCTAATTTGGAAGCAGGTGCTAGAGATGAGGATGAATCCAAATGGGAGCAGGTCTGCAGCTCCCACAGTCTGTCACAGTCTGATGAGTTTAAGCATGAATGGATGCTCCATAATGTTCAGATCAATCTGCCCATAATATCAGTCGATTATTCTCTGTAAAGCTAAATCAAGCTCATTAAATTGGTAATAGACTTGGACAAGTTGGTTAAAATGTTTCACGATTAGATTCATGAGAAACACAAAAATGTAGATTTACAATTTAAGGCCATTTAGATCATATTTGTGAGTTTTTAATAGGTTTGGAAAAAATTTAAAGATGTGAATTTGAAACAGGAAATCAAATTTCGTAGTTTTTGCTTTCAAGTTTCTCTAACATTTTTTTCATCTTTTTTATGGTTTATTAAAACATCATTAAAAGTCAGCAGATGTATTTTTTTAAAGAAATGCCATGCACTTCCTTGATGAGATGCCTTTGACTTTGAAAGTTTAAAATTATGAAGTGCAGCCGGGGAGAAGAACAGAGGTCAAATTTAAATCCTATTTTTTTCTTAAAACTGCACCAAGCATTTCCACTAAAGCAAATAAAACACAATGAAAAAAATAATCAATTGCTTTTTTTATCTTGTAAGTAAAACTGACAGCAAATAGTAATAATAGTAACAAGCTGCACCACAGCCTGTGACATGCTTATCCTTCACATATAAAACGTCAAAGAAAACATATTT